CCAACGTTAAAGACGCTATTTGTTGGAGAGTGAAGAGTTATTGTTGTCAAGTCTGCATAAAATCATCCTTATATTCAATCACAGCGATACCCTACCATACATGATTCTGAAGGAGGGAAGCCGGGGTTTATTCGTACGGTGTCTTTGAAACCAATTGTGATGATTCTCATGTCATTGTGGAAGGTGACAATTTGCTACATAGAGTCATAACAAAAGGAAGTAAGTTGACCAAACGCTGCTACGCCATATAAGCAAACAGTTCTGTGAGAGGTAATTCAAAGTGTCATCGGTGGAATATCCGATCGAAAGAGGCATTAATGTATTAGCAGGACAATGAAATGTTACAGGGGCGAATAGCTGTGATTTTATGATGTCATCTATTCAAAGTCATTTTTTAGCACAGAGGCTCAACTGACAGTTAATTTGCTTACTTGAGACTTAGTCATTTGAAGGAGTGTGCTTTTTGGTTGATTCTGGGTAATGTGAAATGTGAAAGACTACAAATCTTGGATGCCAATATCACCAACTACAATTTTCAACTGACGATAAGCAAACAAAATGAAATTGGAAAATCAACTTGAGAATAATATTATTTCAAAAAACAGATTTAATGATATTTATCATCAGCCCCTCAGTTGGCTTCAGCTTTTCCCTTGGGTAGGGGGTACATATATAGCTGTACATAAGCTGTCTTCTTGCTTCCCAGCATCTCTGGCTTTCCGTCGTTGTCTTTAGGGCTGGCCACCGAATCAGGTGAGCCTTCTCCACTGCCTCATATAGGTAACATAGAGGTTGGGGTATGTTGGTTGAGTGTATACTCCGGATTTGTGAAGTTGTTTTGTCATGCAATCGTGTTCGGTACGTAGTCTAAACTCAGCAACGGCTTCGATTCTTGACCAAAGTTAAACTCAGCAACGGCTTCTCCTTTGTTCGAGCTTTAAGTTCGTTGCACCTTGACTGTATACTCCCAATCTTTGAAGGTGTTTTGCCAGGCAATCCGTCCGGTACGTAGTCTAAACTCAGCAACGGCTTCGATTCTTGGCCAAAGTTAAACTCAGCAACGGCTTCGATTCTTGGCCAGTCGGCAACGGCTTCGATTCCTGGCCAGTCGGTTATATCGGAGAGTGCCAACTGTGTTTCTCCTTTGTTCGAGCTTTAATTTCGTTGCCTTCTCCTTTGTTCGAGCTTTAAGTTCGTTGCACCTTGACTCTCCTTTGTTCGAGCTTTAAGTTCGTTGCACCTTGTGGTCTTGAATTCTCTTCTGATTAAGGCCTTCATTGCGTGGAAAGACATCGGCCGGTTCATGCATTGCGAAATCGTTGTCCCCATTCTTAGCAAGTGCGTCAGCAAGCTCGTTGCCTTTAGTACCACAGTGACCATGAATCCATTGTAGGACCACTGTTTTGTTTTTCTCTCTCAGAAGCTGATAGAGTTTTCTACATTCATTTAGCTCAGCTGTTTTGGGTGGCTCTCTGTTTCCAATTGAATTTATTGCTGACTGTGAGTCCGAAAGTAACACCGATCTATTGCGTTCCGCTGCTGCGTAGAAAGAGAAGAGTTCAGAAAAGACACCCGCACCAACCTTTGCTTGGTTTTCTATGTAAGGCCCATCAGTGAGGACATGGTCTATTCTCATAGGTGCTGAAGAACTTGTTCATGGGAATGCGCAGTAGCTTCTCATACAAGATCAAGGCCGCCTCTTTGACAAGGGAACATATCGTGGTGCTTCCTGTAAGCAAAAGCATA